AGCGTGAGTGTGGAGCGTGAGTGTGGAGCGTGAGTGTGGAGCGTGAGTGTGGAGCGTGAGTGTATGAATGTGGGTGTGAGTGCGGGGTGGGTGGGTATGGGTTTGAGTGTTCGTTGATCGTCTCCTCATTCACAATCAACATCTATGTCCTATCATATTTTGAATCAATATCGATATCAATGTGAAAGTGAATGTCTATGGATACAAATATTTTCAGACTTCTCACCCAAAGCAATACTAATCTAAGTAATTTCCCGCACTGGTTCTTTTGATATTGTTTTCTCACTGTGAACTTTTCATCGAAATGAGCCATTTCAAAATGTCGCAAGAAACATCACAGAATAGAACGAGAAAAATCATTTTCACCCGAGGTTACATACTGTTCTCTTTCGCAGAAAAATTCCTTACTTCCTTTTGTTTTCAACATTACTTTTTTCTCTGTCATCAGGAATAAATGAATGAATCATTTTCCTACTTATTTTTTTTATAACCCACATCTAAATATTGATATGGAAAACTTTTTTTATTTTTACAGCGATCAAAACTCTTTGTAATTGGCAATGTCAACTAAGAAAGGCTACTGAAAATGTCGGAATTCACTTTCGCAGAAAAGCTTCGAAAGCGAGTTCAATACAGACTATCTTTATGATGGAGTCAACTGATATTGTGTAATTACATTAGTACTATGACGTAGTGATACATATATCACGAACATTAAATGTTTTTTCATTGTTCGTATAACATATATATATAGGTTGTTTAAAAGTAGCAAACTATTGTTTCAATTATATGATAACGTCATCATACGTTCATTTCTTTTTATCTTCAATCTATACGAGATAGATCGAAGGCAACTTGAAACAGTGAATTCTATCATTTTCGATAGTCTTTCTTGGCTGACATTGTCAATTACAAAAAGTTTTAGCTGCTGTTAAAAAACAGTCTATATTAAAATAAAAGTTTTAAGTTTCGAATAAATATCAATGTGGAAATCGATATCTATGGATACAAATATTCTCCAAAGTCGCACCGAAAACAATACTAATCAAAGTGATTTTCCCAAAACGGTTCTTTTAATATTATTCCAACCGTTACATTTTCATCGAAATGCAACATTCCAAACTTGCACAAGAAATATCACCGAAAGGAAGGAGAAAAATTGTTTCCGCCCGATGTTACATACTGTTCTCTTTCGCAGAAACATTCCTTACTTCCTTTTGTGAAACACGCTCTGAAAGGGGTGTTAAAGTCTTTACGGTAAAAATTTTGAACGTAGCCCCTGTCTTTTCTCGCAGATCATGATTGAGAAATTTGAGTCCATCACAGACCGAGAGAACGAATTCCAGAGACCCATCATAGAGTGTGACAGAGAACTTTCTGAGCCCATTACAGATTGCTACAGAGAAACTGTAGTTTTTAAGCATCAAATAAACAATAAACTACATCTCTATCATGAAGAAATGAAACAAAAAGACGTTCACTTGATTATTAATAAAAGGCCTATTGTGTTTCACATTTTTAAGTCCACCAGAGATTGCGATAACAGCTTTTGTTTTGTACAGAATCCTTTTCTCCGTCATTAGCAAAAAAAGAATGAATCTTTTTCCTATTAATTTTTTTATCACTCAGCTCTGATTATATGATGTAAAGACCTCTCGTTGATTTACATACATTGTAGTTTTTAATTATTTTTGATAAGATAAAAGACAACAGTTTTATCAATGGCAACACCATGATGTGTTAAAGTCACCTGTTTACCACAAGGAATTAAAAGTAACGAATTGGCTAGCAAGTTTGGCATACAACAAGATAATATTAGTATCCCTGAAAATCAAGGTAGACTCTTTTATGCATGGGTGAACGGATTCCCAGATGAATTAAGTGCGAAGGAATTTGTGCAAAAATGGAATCATACAAATATACGTTCATCAACAATTACCTGCAAAATTGCTAGCACAAAGCCAAATGTGCTTCGACGGCCGCTATCAGTATCGAGACCCTATATGGTTCAAACAACTTCAAATGATCGTTTAGAGAAATTGTCTTCCGAGCGTATGCATTCGAAACGTGGATGCAGTGTGAATGATGGATGTAAGTAATCTTGGTTGCAAACGATTCTAATATCTCTGATGATATCATTTGATTCAGAGAACATAGTAGTCTCATTGTCACTTTTTGTGTCTCCCTCACTTTTCATTGCTGATTCTTGAATATTTGATACAAGAATTTTTCACAGAAGTCTCAATAAGAATTTATCAACAGACTTGAGCTCAACCACTGAATAAGGAATAGAACAAAAGTTCAATATATCCAATTTTCTGTACTTTTCAAAGTGAAAAACAGACATTTTTGTTTCTATTTTGTTCATAGGCATACTAGCCCACTACAATTATCGGTTATCAACCATTTGAAAAGTTCTATCTCTTAACTCTTTACGGCCGGCTCCTAGAAGCACGGAAGGAAAAAATTCTTTTACTATCTATTTTTTATGACTGAATCATGGGGATAACCATGTTACAATACGGGAAGCAAACCTATGAGATATAAGCAGATACCATGATGTTGTCAAAAGGCAACATCCGGCCGAAAGGGATCAAACCAGTGTTCGACTCGGGTCAGGTCAGACCTCGGGCCGGGTCGGGTCGGGTTACGAAAAACATACTTAACATCGGATCGGGTCGAGTCGGATCACGAAAAAAATCTTTGAGCTCGCGTCGGATCGGGTCGGGTGACAAAAGTTTTACGAATTCCGAACTTTACACAAGAAAAGTAGCAATTTTAGATGAGATAATCACTTCTTTATTTCGAATACCTGTAGAATATGTATCGATTTACTGAGAGGATTGTCAATGTCTGAAAAAAACTCACTTTGACTGGCCAAAAACTATCCCTCACCTCGGGTCGGGTCGGGTCGGGTCACAAAAAAAGTGACCCGTGTCGGACACTGGATCATACTTTTCAGAAGAGATTGTTATCCTTTTATGGCCGGTTTCTAGAAGAACTTAAGAAAAAATAGTCTTATGCTACATAGTTGAGTGTAGAGTGTGAGTGTGTAAGTGTTGGGTGGAAGCATGTGTGTGGGTGTAGAGATCGGTATGAGTAGATGTGACCTCTCTCTGAATGTAGGTGATGGTGTGACGATGGAGTGGTTTCTTGCGCCCAAGCCCATACGTACAGCCTATACTCACATCCTACATTCCTCACTCCACTCACATCCCACCTAACGACACTTACACCTAAACTCCCAAGAGGGAAAAAGCGAGACTTCATCTAATTCAAAAAATTTGGAGCACGATTGAAGTATAGTGAAGTAGAATTGAAGTACGGGTAAAGTACGAGAGAAGTATAGTGGAGTACGATGAAGTACGAAGTCTCACTTCTCCCCTTTGGCTTTCAAACACTTACATTCAAAACCGCACTCATATCCCACACCTGTCCCTTCTGCAAAAATAGTCTTGTGATTGTGGCTCATGTTCGAGATATGACACTTTCATAAAGTAATTAACAAGCAAAATGCTCGCAAAGTGCTACCTGGAAGCAAGAATTAGCCACAGAGTCTATAAATCTTAGAGTTGAAGATTAACAACAGTTTTGGAAAGTTTTGACCCTATACAGCTGGGAGTAACCAAAAGGCAACATTCTCGTTTTTCCTATTTTCTGCATTGCTAAAAAACTTTTGTTAGTAACTATGCACACTAATAATCGGCTAAGGAAAGTTTTGGAATAGGTGACCCGCATATTGAATTTCAATAGATGTTCAGAACAATGATAATCATGGTTATGCTCATTCTCCAGGCCAATACGCATTTATGCGGCTATTTTCAGAAATTGATGTATGTTGAATTTCAATGAAAGATGAATACATTGGGCAATATGTGCCTTTAGTTAGTGTTGTGAGAGAATAACACCGAACATTAGTTTAAAAGAGTTCTTAATGAAACTGTTTCTCAATGTTGCCTTTTAGCAACATTCCGTTGTAAAGGGTTAAGAAAGTAGTGAAAACTGTTTTCAGAATAAAGTGTAGCACAGGATATTGCTTTTCATTTCAACAGTTCCTAACAGATATCTTCTTCCTTGATTAAAAAAATGGATCCAATTGAGAAAATTGATATTTATTGACGAAAGCTTAACGTTTTGACATGATTTTATTTTCAAGGAAATGAAGTAGAAACATTTATTCAAAGATCTAGTTTTGAATTTTGATGTTTTTTATCAGACGAATGAAGTATCGTAACTGCTTTAGTTGCATGGCTTCTATTTTCTTTGAAAAATTAAACGAAGAATTCGAAAGTTTGGCATCTTGACATTTTATAGTATTATTATTTCAATAACTGAGACCAAATTTTTCATTTGTATTCTTCTGGAAACTTCAATTAAGAGAATCTGTTGGTAAAATGTACAAGCGCAGAAAACAAAAACTGAAGAAGACATCCATTAAATATTGAGATCACCATTTTCACGTACCTTCCGACATTAGAGGTATATATTTATCTATACTTAATAAAATTTCACTTTCACATGTAAAGTTCACAATAAATGCATGAAATGTATTCTTCTTTGTTCCATGTATACTTGATATTAGAGAAAACAATTAAATATGCATATGACTATTTGTAATCCGTGAAGCTGTATTGGAACCTAAGAAATTTATTAGGTCTTTTCATAAATCTATAAAATAAAAACGTTTCAAAGACATGTACTACCAACGAATAATTCATATTTCTCATTTTTTAAAATACCATCGATAGTCTCAGCTAGATATTTTATAGATGGAGTTATTGAATGAGAAATTTTCTTTTATATATTCATCGATAATTCAGAAAAATCACATTACTCAACGTTAGTATGTTCTGTTCTTCTTTGAAGATATTTTGAGATCAAGGATATCCACTATTAATGCTGACAGTGGCGCTGATGATAATGATCAGAAAACAAATAATGAAGAACCACTCAGCCATCATTCAAGAATAGATCAATACAATGCCATTCACTGTTCTGACATGACAAAAGACAATCTTCGTACATGTTTAACTACGAATCCAGATTCAATACTTCCATTAGCTGTGGGTCCAAGTAATAAACCTTTTAGATCTCAATCACGTGTTCGGGAAAGATCTTCTTCGTTTCAAAGAGCTGCCTGCCGAAACGGCTCCAATTGTTTCAATCCATATTGTACATTTGATCATCCACCTGGATGGCATGCCTGTAAGGATGGCGGTGATTGTGACAACTTTGACTGCCAAGCCATTCATCCCTATGATCGAACGAAACCATGTCTAACTGGGCCCAATTGTAGAAACGTTACATGTAAGTTTTTACATCCGATGACGCGCATCGGCGAATGCTAAAACGGTGATCAGTGTCGCGATTGGTATTGTAAGGCATTGCATCAAAATAATCGTCCAAAACCTTGCTTTTTTGGAAAGCGATGCTATAACACCAGATGCCAATGCTTGCATCCACCTGATAGACAATTATGTCCGACTGGCGATGATTGTACTGAATTTGAATGTGAACTCGATCATCCACCAAGTCGTACGGTGCGATGTGATCAAGGTAGTGACTGTGACAATTTTTTCTGTAGTTTTCTGCACCCTACCGATTGGGATCCATGCGAGGAAGGCAGCAAATGTATCAATTCACGTTGCCCTCATACTATTCACCCATTTGATCGCATTATACCTTTGCAAACAAAAGCGACTGGTAAAGAACAAATAAAACAATCATATTCATTGTTGAAGTCTATTGAACAACGTAAAGTCGAACGAGAGCAGATCCAGTTACCGATTCTCGCTTCGAAAGATGTATTTTGTCAACGGTTGAAGACAGAACGGATACTTGTTGTTACAGCAGAGACCGGTAGTGGCAAAAGTACACAGTTGCCACAATATGCTGCTGAATACTTTGGTGGTCTTGTCGTATGCACTCAACCACGAGTAGTTGCGGCTATATCTTTGGCACGTCGTGTAGCCAAAGAGTATGATGGAACATCGGTGGGAAGATCGGTTGGTTATCGAGTTGGTCGTGGTAGTGATGGCAAAGGAAGAAATCAAGTACCCGGTACGGATATTATATTTATGACCGATTCGGCATTGATTCAAGAAAGTCAACAAGATCAACAATTGAACAAAGTGAAAGTCTTGATTATTGATGAAGCTCATGAACGTACATTAAATACAGATATTGTCATCGGTCTAGCCAAACTGCTATTAAATATGCGTACGACCGATTTCTATGTTGTAATTGCTTCAGCCACCATTGATCCAATCAAGTTTTTGAACTTTTTTGGCCGAAAAGGTGCTGAAGTACTCAATGTTCCAGGTCGTATTTATGACATATCTGTTGAATACATACCTAAAGCTGACGATTCAACTGAAGAAGAACATGCTGTGTCGACTCTACTACAATTATATGAGAAGCATGAAGGACATACGCTCATATTCCTTCCTGGGCAACGAGAAATTGAGCGGGCTCTCGAGCTTTTTAGTCATGATATACCCGATAATTGCGTGGCATTACCGTTGTATGGCTCTCTCTCGCCTGAAGAACAAGACAAAGTACTTCAATTTGACGAAGGTTCAACTGGTGAACGTCGAATGGTAGTTTTTTGTACGAATATCGCTGAGACATCACTTACCATTAAGAATACTTGTGTCGTAATCGATTCCGGTTTAGCTAAAGAGGTTCGCTTCGACCCTAAACGTCGTCTAACTGTTATTGAAACTGTTAGGATATCGCGTTCGTCTGCCGATCAACGGAAAGGCCGTGCAGGACGAACAGGACCAGGACATTGTGTTCGTCTTTACAAAAATGATGATCTAACTCGTCCTAATATTGAACCCGAAATCCATCGATCTTCATTCGATCTAGTTGTTCTACAGCTTGTTCGCTTGCAGTTAAAACCACAGGATTTTCCCTTTATAGATCTACCTTCATCGGGTCCAGCAATTCTGCAAATATCACTACAGCTTTTAAAAGATCTTTTATGCATTGATATCAATGATAGAATCACTTTACGTGGTGAGCTGTTTGCTGAACTTGGTCTTGATCCTCGTTTGAGTGCTTTCATGGTCGACACTTACGTCGAACATGGTCCTATACTTGAAGTTACAGCTGCCATTGTCGTAATTTTAACAGCACCTGGCACCGTATTCTTCATGGGAGGTGCAACAAAAGAAGCGAAGCAAATGGCTCGAAGCCGAGTAGCTATAGGTGCCCAAGAATACGAGAGTGATCTACTCTATCACGTTTCAGTATATGAAAAATGGAAGAAAATTGGTATGATCGATCCCGAGACACACGTCTGTGTCACATGTCAGAGGACCACTAAGGCAAAGTTTTCATGTCGCTCATGTCGAGCAACATATAGCGTCAATAATACACTGAACAACAAAGTCCTCAATACTATCGAAAGTGTATGTGATGCTTCGATAAACACAATTATCAACAAACGCTGGGAACTTAATCCTAGTCTTTTATCCAATGCAAATGAGAGCCTTATTATTGCTTCACACCTTTTGAAAAATTTTCCTGAACACTATGGCCATTTACTCGTACCACATTTGCCGAATGAAGGTGCATGCATGGTTGCAAATGACTTTCGTGCACGTATAGCTACTAGCAGTGTGTTCGTGCAGCGACAACTTGGTAAAAGCCATTTTATAGCCATGTCAATCACACGATTACCCGCAGGTGATTATGTCATTGAACGATTACATCCAATCAAGCCATCTAAAACAACTAGTGTAAAGGCAATAGAGGAACTTGCTGTTCTCAATAACGTTGGTTGGGAATGGAATCACGAAATTCGTAAAGAAGCGAGCAATTTCAAAACGGAAGTATGGTACAAGTGGCTCATCTATGAATATGATCGTTGTCTATGCAAACTTATTTTGTGGGGTGAAATAAACATGAAAGACTTCGTTCATCGTGCTCTAACCTCGATTGTCCAGAACACCCGTGACTTACTTTTAACTCGAACTCGTTCAGTCGATTGTGGACCTATCCGGGCAACATTCGAAAGTGGTCTTGTTTGTTTGCGCATAGAAGATAAGCATGAGAATAATAATGCCAAATATCGGCTGGATCTCCAGCATGTACCGTGTAAAACATTCCAGGAACTCTATGAATGGATTAAATGTGTACTCGATGTAAATCGACAAGATTTACGCGAGAATAATTTTCGGCCATGCCAAGAACCCGTCATGGATGAGGATAGTTATGAATCACCACCTTTCTTTGTTGTCTTTGCCTCAGAAGAAGCATTCAATCGTGCTCTATCGCACCTACCGCCATTCAACATTTGTCCTCAAAGAGTAGATGCATTTGATATTATACATATGAGTGAAAAAGAGACATGGGGTCGTCAATTACTCTTGAAACCTAAAGAAAATATATTTCTTACGGTAGAAGAAATGAAGACAAAATTTCGTAAATACATTGTTAGCTGCAAACAAATAGGTAAAAAGTTGCTACCTGGTCTTCAAATAACAAATATGCCTGCATCTGTCAACAAAACGTCCGTTCAACATGCTGTAGGAAATACTATTGTTCCGGCGCGTATTGATATTTTTTATTCAGATGAAAATAATTCTAATATGGGTAGCTCATCAGTACGTGTCTATTTTCAAGATGAAAGAGAATGTCATCAAGCGATTCTTCGTTTACAATCTAGCAGCCTTTTAAATCAACATCTAATTACGATTTTTTCCAAGAAAACATGTCAAATTAAGGATATTCCTGCAGTACCCTCAATGGAAAGAGTCAAACTTGAAGCACCAACATTTCTAGTTACGACAACGAGTCGTCGAATAGCACTCAGAATGTATTCACATTTATCGTCAAAATGGATAGTGAATAGTTCCGCATCCGTAACTGTGACAAATCTTGATCTGTATCCAAATTTCGACGATTTACTCAAAGGTATCTGTAATCGTTTTCAGACAAAAGTTCAACGACTTTCACTTCCAGAAAAGCATAACAGCCCAAAAGCGATTCGTTGTATCTTTACAGACGCGAGTCCACCAAAAACAGCTCTAGCTGCATCAATGTTAAGTCAAGGAACTTCACCAATAATCATCCAGTTGACCGACGATCGGCAGAAATGTTTATTTCAGGAATTATTTGAAGAGAATCTTATTCAAACATGGGTCAATGAACTGAAATTGTCATGTGAGAAAAAAGATAAATATGGAGCTGTAATTGAAATTCGTGGTCCACAAATTGAGCAAGGTCAATTGATGCGTCGCATTGCTGATTATGCCGACAATTTTGACTATCGATATCGTGTACTTGATCTCAGCTCTTCGATAATCAGCTATTTTGGTCGCCAAAAGGCTGCCGACGTGAAATTACAAGAGATCAATGCAGTTTGGGCACAAAAAGGCTGTAGTGTAACTTTGGCCCGAAGAACAAGTTCAATCATTCTCTATGCACAACCGAACGTACCGACAGATATGATAATTAATTGTGAGAATGAAGTGAAAGAATTATTAAATAAACTAGCAACAATGAATACCAACAATGAAGAACAAAACGATTTTGCCCGTCAATGTGCTTTCTGTCGACGAATAATGGTTGCAACGCGTACGTTTCGCATCTGTGGTCATGCGTATTGTCGATGTGCGATAAGCATACTCAATAAGCTGTCTCTAGAATGTCCCACTTGCAACAATAGAATTCATATTCAAGATGTACAAGAAATGTTTAGTAACAGTCGTGCTGATTTCACAAGATTGTGCAAAAAGTCTATTCAAGCATATCTATTATCATCAACAAATCTGACAGACCAAAACCAGCTCTTCTGTCCCAACAATCAATGTGATGGATTGATTAGTCGTAGTCGAGGCTACCAAACATGTCTGACGTGTGGACAAGGTGTATGTGGTTTATGTCGTTTGATCGACGATGAACTACACGAAGGTCGTACATGTGCAGAACGAAATGAAGCTCAAAAGAAATTAGGGGGATTTATACCACAGCTTTTTAAAGCTGCCGAAACATTCACCCGAGACAGTTGGCCAATAACTCTATCACCCATAGTTCACTTTGAGAGCAATCCGGATTTAATGCAAAAATCTTGCGAATCTCTAGATCGCTTTTACAAAGGTGTTGAATCTATTGGAGATAAGCCACCCCCTGACCTTGCTCGAGGATTTTTCGCGTTTCACGGTACTTCAGTCGATGCCATTGGATCTATATGTAAATCAGGTTTCGATCCTACTCGACGTCGTGGACAGGTTTATGGTCCTGGTGTGGGTGTGGGTGTGGGTGTGGGTGGG